AAGCACCTACTTGGAACAAGCTTAGCAAAGCACAGGGACCGCGGTTCGATCCCCCAGCACCACATGCCAGCCTGCCCCGCCCCCTGGTGGGCTGAGCTGGCCACACACACACACACACACACACACTAAATAAATGTTTAAAAAAAAAAGAAATACTTTACAATCAGGAACATTTCTCAACTTCTTTTTGTTTTCTTTAACTTCTTGATAGCATAAGCAGTCTAGTTTATGAATAAGATGAAGCTTTAAGAATTTCTTTGGTTTGTTTGGGGTTTTTTTGAGACAAGTCTCACTACGTAGTTCAGGCTGGCTTTGAACTCACTGTGTGGCCCATGCTGGCCTCCTACTCTTGACTGGTGGTGATCTTTCTGGCTCAGCCTGCTGAGTACAAAGATTGAAAATGTGAACCACCACACCCTGATCAAGATTCACTTTCTTAGGATTGGAGATGCAACTCAGTGTTAGAGCTGTTTGCCAATGTGTACAAGGCCCTGGGTTCAATTTCTAGTCCTGCCAAAAAGAAAAAGTCCTTCTTGCCTTTATGAATTTATTACTCTGGGGGAGGAGCTCCATGGTACAGACTCTGCGGTTGATCCCCAACACACATAGAAGGAGGTGAGGCGCACTAACCTGGCCTCATTCAGGAATGAGTAAAATCTAGCACCAGTCATCACTTCTGCCTGCTGCAGGGTTTTCAGGCACCAGTTTGCTTATGTCCCAAGCCCAGGGTCTGCTTGGATTCCTCCCTCCCTCCTTTGTTTCACATCCAGTCTGTTCACAAGTTCCTCTCACTTCTGCTTCCAGAGCATCCATATTTGGGCCTGTGGCCATTTCCATATTCTCTACCTCACCCTTGGCCCTATGTTCAGGTCAGTGTAGCTCTCTCCCTCCTCCCTGGCTTGTAAGGAACAAGAACCAAAATTATGCTAGAATCAGTGTAGCGTTCCTCCTGCTTCAGCCTCTGCAGTGCCAGGATTACAGGCCTGTGTTACCAAGACTGGGTTCTTCTTAACTATTTTATTTTATTATTTTATTTTTTGGCAGAACCGGGGATTGAACTCAGATCCTTGCATTTGCCAGTCAAGCGCTTATCCTACTGAGCCATCTCCCCAGCCCCTTAACTCATTTTAAAGTATCTTGACAATATCAGTACAGTTAGGGGCTGG